CGTCCCGTTTGTATATTACGTGAAATTTTTGCCTGAAGATTTGCCACAAAAATTGTACCATTTGATTTTCATTATCAGAATGTCGATCATTGAGAGGGGAATTTTGCATTGAGATAACCAGTATCAAATATGTATAGTGAATTATTGGGCGTAAAATACTCAAAAAATATTTTTGAGTTTGTTGAATCTCATGCGATAGTTTACGTCACTACATGTACATCGCTATGACCTTCGTTTGACCGTTTTTACATTCGTTTACAAGCATGACGCAAGATCTCACAGTGAAATGGTCTATCGACAATGTTTTTGTGATTTGACGATGATTTGACCGGAACTTAATGTGAGCTGTTTACATCAACTTGACTTGAAAGGGAACAGGTTTCTATTCAGTCCATCATAAACGTGGCTACACAGGCATTTAACACTTGAAGTACCTTTTTTTTTATATTTTTTTTTTTTAAACAAAAAAGATACAGAACTTATTAAGAAAATAAATACAGAAATAAATAGTAATTTACGCCTGAAGTACTTTTAACACGATATATAGTAAGATGACTTTAATCGTAAAATCAACTTTAATCTTTGCCTAGGTGCATACATGATATGATATGCCTGTTCTGAAGATAACCTTTGACCTCTGACAATTTTAAACGTGATTACATTAGTTTACAAATACTTTAAAATACTTTATTTTAGCTGGAATTAATTTTCACTGAAAAGACTTTTTGGGTGTTTTGTATGAAATTTTACAGTACTATTGTTAATTTGTTGGTTAATTCTTTTATTATAATTTAAATCTAAACAAAAGAGACAGAAGAAAATTTTGTTAATGAGCGTCATGATCAAATGTTATTTCCATCCCATAATAATTGTTTATCAGGACTAATAGAGAAGTGTATCTCTATTCTATAATGACTGGGGGGAGGGGGGGTTATAAGCCGACATTCTGGAACAGTGATGTCAATGGCCTATTTAGAAGAGCGTTTGACCCCTTCGGTACATGTACAGTACACAGTACGGGCGTAATTTAACTTCCAAGCTGGCTAACAGCTGACTTCGTCTTTTAAATTTCAAAAAAAATATTCATCACATCACTCATTAACTCAATTTAACTCCAGGCTCTTTGGTTTTCAAATTTAAGATCAAAATTAAAATTAAAATGAAAGAACTAACATAATCTAGATTGTTTCCAAAAAAATCAGTCACAAATGGTTCGATTCTAGATTTACAGTACGGTCCGAGTGTAACTTAACATTTACCTAGCTTTTAGCTGGCTTAAAACTAGCTTAGCTTGCTTTTAAAACTATCACATATCTGAATTGTGCAGCAAAATCTGCTCAAACGTGGTCATAACAATAACATGGGTAAATACTGCAAACAATTTGTAGAAATTATTGATGACAATCATACAAATTTTTTAAAAAAGTCAGCTCGGGAGTAAAGTTACACTCAGGACTGTACTGTCATGTATCGCACACTACTGTAAAATGCTTTATTTTAGCTGGAATTAATTTTCGCTGAAAAGACTTTTTGGGCGTTTTGTATGGAATTTATTTTCACTGATTTTTGACAAGTTGAATATAAAATATAGAAAAAGGTATTTTTGCTGGATTTTATTTTCACTGGATCATTCCTTCAGCGAAAATAGCGAAAATTAATTCCAAGCGAAAATAAAGTATTTTACAGTATATAAAAGTTGCATTATCTCATTCTGTTATCACTGTGTAGTAAAATAAAGTGAGTCATAAATTTGAATCGGCAGATACTCCGACGGCAAGTTATGCATGCTAGACTGATTTATTTTTTATCTTGAACACCTCAAATCCCAGCATGCATTGCTGTCCTGAATTCTACTTAGAATACTCTCAACATACTGTAAAATACTTTTTTTTCGCTTGGAATTAATTTTTGCTGAAGGAATGATTCAGTGAAAATAAAATCCATCGAATATACTTTGTTTTTATATTTTAAATTTAAATCGTCAAAAATCAGTGAAAATAAACTAATTCATACAAAGGAAAATTAATTCCAGGTACTGTAGAATACTTTATTTTCGCTTGGAATTTATTTTCGCTGAAGGGATGATTCCGTGAAAAATAAAATCCAGCGAATATATTTTTTTTCCTATATTTCACATTACACTCATCAAAAATCAGTGAAAATAAATTCCATACAAAACGCCCAAAAAACCTTTTCAGCGAAAATTAATTCCAGCGAAAATAAAGTATTTTACAGTATTTTACAGGTAACTAAAGCAGGATGTTTGAAAGGGCCCATGTTAACAACAAAGTTATTGGAACTGGGACTTACGTCAATTGCTGTTATGTAACATTATCAGTAAACAAACTACCTTTTGTTATCTTTTGATAAGTAGATTACCATAAAAGGGTTAATTATTCACTGGGTTTTAATTTTGCTTATTTCGCTGACTGGAAAATGTGCTAAATTAAAACCCAGTGAATATGTAAAATTGAGCATAGAACACATTATCTAAATGATAAAACCGTGAATTTAAAACCCACTGAATATGCCTGAAATGGTAAATCAGTGAAATTTAAACCCTGTGAAAATTAAGCAATTTACATCCTGAATTTGAATAGATGTACTGTAGAATACTTTATTTTCGCTTAGAATAAATTTTGGCTATTTTCGAAATGATTCAGGAATTATTCAGTGAAAATAAAATCCAGCGAATATACCTTTTTCTTATATTTTACACTCAACTTGTCGTAAAATCGTGAAAAACAATTTTCCATACAAAACACACCGGAAGTCTATTCAGCGAACATTAATTCTAGCTAAAATAAAGTATTTTACAGTAACCACCCACACCTCTGTAAATCGCGAATTTCTTTAAAATCTGCTTCAGTGTAAGCCAGCCTTTAATGATACGCTTGTTCTGATGATAACCTTTGCACCACCAGACTATTTCTCCCAAATTTGTCTACACATTTTTCTTGTATTCTTCAATATTTCTAGTAATGAACCCTAATTTTGGAGCCAACAGACAAAATTTTAGTCAATTTTCAGTGTTTACTTAAAAAATATGACTATTATTGTCCCAATCTTCTGGAGAAAAGTGCAGACTATAAGCTGGACTATTTTTCCGAATTTGTGATATATAAAGAGAAAACTGGTGGTGAAAAGGTTGAAAGCCGACTTACTGGAACCATGATACATGTACATGTATCAATGCCTTACATGTACATGTATTTATAGTTCACATGATGTACATGTATAAAAATAGCTTTTTAAATAAATAATGGTACACATGTAATTTAATACTAAATTACTGTAAAGCCAAAAAAAAAGACTTTGCTTCTCCGCCTGAGGAAAATTGAAAAAATGATTCTGTGATGTAGTTTTAAATTTGTTAATGATTAATAATAACCTAATGAATGTTCAACGTTTGACATTTATTAAATAGTGTTTTCAAATATACGTATTATAGATTGATTATCATCTTTGTCAACCATGGTTTATTTTTCCAGCAGCCATCGTCCCCATTATATCTTAGCAAAATTTCCACTAAGAACCTGTATTTACATTCGACAAAATCAAACACAACGGCCCATACTGTGGTGCGTTTTCATTGTAAATGAAACTAAAAGTTAAGTGACACGTTTCCATGTTTTTTTGTCAGTTGAGTATTACGTTATATAAGACGACAAAATCTATTGGTTTATTTAAAATTTGAAATTGAGGCAAGTTTTAGTTACAGGAATTTTGATTGGTGGATCCAGCTTTTTGGCATGCCCAATCAAATCATTTAAATTGACTGAGGTCAAATACAGCTTTTCCTCGTTACATTGACTTTTACTGGGGTCTAAGGGAGTCGCATTGACATACATACTGTATGAGCCATAATCAAAGTGGCCTTCACTAGTGTTCTAGGGAGTTACAGTGACTTTTACTGGGATCTAAGGGAGTCGCATTA